TTGCTAATCTGTATGCAAAACTAGAAATAACTACAAGCATCAGCGTGAAACATGAAAAGAAAGTTAAAAGATGAAACATGCAGATGCAAGGTAACACTTCACATTCAACCTCATAAGGTTTGTTGGCTCAACGGAACTGAGGAAGTCTTCCAGAACAAGGAAGCATGCAGTCAATAAACCCTGCAACGAGACATCAATGTAAACCAATTAGATCGACCCTGCATCCTGAACCCCCAAAAAAAAAACAAAATGACCGAGAAAAAAAAAACTACAACTAAAAGAAGGGAAATTAGATAAATTTTCTCCTTTTTTCCTCTTATATATTTTTGTTTTGCCTTCTATAAGGTAATTCCAATTCTTCTTTTGTAAAAATTTCAGGGCATAATACCTCCAAATTGAGGGTTCCAAGCCGCAGGGGCAGCTGCCTTTTCCATTTACGAACTTTCAAAAAAGTCACAATCTTCTGGGCACAAAACAAATCTACCTCTGCAACAAAGACCCATTTATTTACTTTAACACTAACCAAAATCATAGATATGAAACCAATCTCAAAATCATATGAGATGACCCAAAACAAAAACCCATCACCCAATCCTTAACTAGCAGGAATGAAATTCCCATTTATTTACTTTAACACTAACCAAAATCAGAGATATGAAACCAATCTCAAAACCATATCAGATGACCCAAAATAAAAACCCATCACCCAATCCTTACCTAAAATCACAATCACAAATAAATAAAAACAAATTAGGGAAATCTAAAGCCCATATCAGATATCTCATCAATTCCAAACCCTACACTCTAGAAAAACCTATAAACCAATTTCATACAAACCCATAAACCCTAAACCAATTTCAGAGCAACCTCTAAACCCAAAAACCCTAAACCAATTTGGAAGAAACCCCTAAACCAATTTCATACAAATCCATACACCATAAACCAAATTCACAAAAACCCTACATTTCTAAGAAAAGGAACGTGAACAGTACCTCGTGGATGTGAATTGTGGAGTTAAGCTTGGATGGTTGAGGGAGGAAGATGACTGCGTCGGAGAGAGAGAGAGAGAGAGAGAGTTGCACGACAGAGAGAGACGGGCTGAAGACAGAGACAACCAAGAGAGTGAGAGAGAACCAATTTCTGAAAAAGTGATATGGGTGCAATCAATTTACAATAAAAATATATTTATAGGTGGTAGTTTTAAAAATTTTGGGGAGGGGTGGTATTTTTAGTTAAGATTATAAAATGGGTGGTATATAGGGCTATTTCCCAATTTTTTTCACTAACCAAGGCTCTTTTCCCTATAAAATTATTTACAATGGCAATTTAATAAAATTATATAGATGGAATCTTTCTCACTAACCGAGGCTCTTTTCCCTTCCCTCTATATAATTAGTACTCTAAATAATAAATATTATAAATAAATAAAAAGTGAGAGCATGCATTTGCATCTGAAGATGCGCCCAAACCAACCCCTCTTTTTCTTTCTTTTGGAATTTTGTATTCTCCCCATATCTCATATCTCCTAAAGCCTTCAATTTTTTTTATTTTTTATTTCCCATCTTCTTCTTCCTTCCGTCACTTTCCTGGCGGAGCCAAAAACTCTATCAAGAGGGGTCAACATAAAATGAAACAAAATAAAAAAATTTCATCTAAAAATAAAATCCGTTTCTGGAACAACGACTTAGTTAGTCATTACATGTTTATTGATGGTGACTTTTAGTTATAAAAAAAAAAAAAATTGTTTAAGACATTAAGTTATGACAAATTTTTATTTATAGTATTTTTCGTATTAGATTATATGAGGCCCCAATTTAAGTTTCGCACAGGGCCCTCAAAATCTCAGGGACAGCCCTGAGTGGAGAATGTCGGTTGGGCTGGAGCATTTGAGTTGATATTGCTTTCATTGTTTTTGTTAAATGAGAAAGTTTGAGTTGGCTGGGCTATTGTTTTTGTTAAGGAGGGGAAATATTTGAGTGGGTTGAGATTGAGTAGGCAGAAGAGATATAATTGAGTAGGCAGAAGAGATATAATTGTATTAAGTATTGGGTAATATTTGGTTTGGCAAAAAATAGAGTAGGCAGCTGCCTACCCTGCCCTTAGGGTAGGACCGCCCCTGGAGAGGAGATGGAAAGAGGAAATTGGGTAAGGCCGCTAGGCACCAGAGGTCGGCATGAAAATGGATCTGAATTTTATGTGACTTTATTACGTATGCATGAAAAGGGCAAGACATGCAGGCGCGAGGGCGTGTGAGTAAGAACAGAGACGATTCGTCAGAGGCATTAGGGAATTTCGAGATGGACATGACACCTTTATATTCCATTCCATCTCTCTAGTCTCGTCTCTACCCTATACCTTTGCTACCTAGCTAACATTTCTATACTATTCTTCTTCTACTTCTTCTTCAACTATCTACCTGGCTAGCTACACATCGATTATGGACCACCACTTGCAACTTGTATTCTTCAATCATCCATCCTTCCACGTGTTATGGGATTCCAAAGTTGAAGATTGCACTCAACCCTCCACTTTCCTATTTCATGAAATCTCTATTTCCAATTCTTTCAAAATATCTGAGAAAATCTTACATATCTATATCTTTCAGGTTAGAATACTACTGTTTATAAATGATCATAACAATTATTATTAAGGACCAACTAATCACGTGATCTCAATGTGACGAGGAGTTGGCGATACGAGCAAGGCGAGGTGTGCACCTGTCACTATTATTTTTTATAACATCAAACACATGGCATGATATATATGATGTGAAACATGACTAGAAGATCATTCCCCAATCAAAGTAGCCCAAAAATTGTTCTCAGCTAGCTAGACGTTTTTCCAACGTCGATCGTATACCATTTAATTTCATAGCCGCCGGCCTCGAGTAAAACCAAACCTTGTCATCATCAATCCATCTTAAAATTTGTCGTTATATGTACATGCGCGCAAGAAGCTAGCCAGGTTAGAAGAATCTGTGCGTGAATTTGCGTCTGTCAACTCACGAAATATGTTAATCTTGTCATCAATTTGTCAATTTAGAGCTGATTTATATGATCACGTAATCGGACACTCACTACAGGCCTGCATATACATATCAATTCTAAAGACCATAGACTCGAAACCCCTCTTCCCCCATGTGACCCTAGCTCATGTCACCCAGCAGGGCTTTGAGAAAGACAGCAGTCAAAAAGACGATGGTTCTTTTTCTTTTTCTTTTTCTTTGTCACTGAGCAAGTTTTGTTTGAAGGAGAGAAAGCGTGCATATTTCTAAAGAGAGCTGCAGACTTGCTTAAAGGGGAAAGAGAGAGAGCCAACTTACTTAACCCACTTGCTCACTTTTCTAGTGGCACATCTAATTCGCCCCCATATTCTTGGAATCTAAGTGGATCCTTGCGAATCTTCCCTGGGTTTCAAACCAGGAAAAGAACAAAATTCTCATGCGTTTTGAGTTCCATGTTTGCTAGGGTTCCATCTTGGTAATTCATGACTCATGAGATAGTTTGCAAGATGTGATGTATTGTTGTTGGGTTCCACCAAAAGTCTAAGTGGAGAGATAATCCAAAGATTCTCTCATCGGTGCGCACCATTTTTCTTCATTAGACACAAAGCTCAACCCTAGACATCAAAATCACTTGTTACAAGTCACGGACACATGTTTGCATGCTTCTGGATTCATCTTCTTTTGCTACAACATTTGTCTAGTTATAAAGGTTACCTTCAAAAAAGAAAACACTAACAAATGTGGAAATCATAAAGCTCAACGCTATACAGATATATTGAGACCTAGAGGAAAATCATAAAGGAAGTTATTTATATATTTACCACAAATATTTTTTGTTAAATCTCTATTTTACTTAACTTTCATATAGAAATCATTTTTCACACTTCATTGATAACTTTTTCTTATATACTATGATCGATGATCATAGAAATTCATAGAAAAATGAATAACCAGTCAGTTAACATAATCATGAGTTGTGGTTAGGGGTGAAATGGTCCATGAATCTAAAAAATAGTGAGAATTCCCCCCTTTCTCCTCGGTCCTATTTCTTAACAGTATGATCAAACTAATCAATTTGATCCAATGATTATGATCAAACTAATCAATTTGATCCAATAATTAAGAAAAGAGATAGGATCTCATCTAAGACCTTTAGATGAGGCCCTCACTACAGAATTCTTGCAGCGTGAGTTGAAGCTATTTGGGCTAGACCGAAGACGAAAATAACAATATATATATTTGGGCTAGTCTCTATATGAGCCGTGTGGAAGTAAATTTAATGAGTTCAAATGGATCAAAAAGTTGTTTTGCCCGATAATGAGATTCGGCTTATATGTGAGCCCAGAAATATCAATTGAAAGTTAAGCCCATTAATCTTTTTACTGTCCGGGTCACGTAGCCCATATTCAGCCCGCATCCCCAAGCATCATGTGCAACAACCTCTGTAATGTAAACTCTGCGAAAAAACCCATACGGATTTTCAAGAAGAGAAAAAAAAAAGGCAATAAGGATTATAGAAGTTGCCAATATAATTGGTTCGATTCAATTGAATATAAATTGTTGCAACCGGATTGATATAGGGTTCATCAGGTTTGAAGGGTAAAATTTGTGTGTTCTCCAGTGTATTTTAGAAAAACTAAAATAAAAATGAACAAACATACAAATCTCCCCATACAAACATCTAGGTTAGGAAGGAAACAACAAGAAGCATCCATTTAAGCTGCTAATGTCACCCAATTAGTATCCTCATTAGCCATTAGCATGCAACCGTTATTCAAGTAAAGAATTTGCACCACATTTGTTATATTTCTCACTTAGACCGTATGTTAGGTCCGAACATTCGGAAGGGGAAGAAAATTACCATTAGACTAAGTGTTAGTTGGTATAATGTATATACAAAACATTGTTATGCGAAATTAAAGTTAGTTGCGGTTTGTAAAAGCATTAGTGAAAACACTTGGTCATAAAAATGAGATGAGGTGATCACAATTCCAAGTTAAATTCTTTAATGAATAATAAAAAAAATCAAATTATTTAGATAGAGGTTGTCACACACACAGAAACAAAAATGTCAACCGACCACAGATAGAAATCTATGAAGAACAAGAATACACAACTGACTTGAGAACAAATGGAATGTAAAATACAAGAACTGAGAGGTTCAGAATTTAATTACTGCTAAAAATTTCGGTTCCTTTAATTAGGACATGATCAGAGACCTTGGCCTCAGCCTTGAATTGATGCTGCGTGCTGGTGTGGCTGCTGCTGGCCCAAAAAACTCTGCATACACGTCCATGAAAAACTTGTCCACAATTTCTAAATAGGCAGGGCAAGTGAGCCTAGAATAATAATGAAGAACCTCTTCGATGTCCAAAACATGATCCACATTGCTCATGTCAAGCATCTCCATCTCCTTTATCTTCTGTGCCACCAAGCAACCCTCTCGAAGCTCCCTCGATTCCTTCGGAACAGTTTTCGTCTTTTCGTCTCTGTTCTTGATCACCATCCTATTTTTAAGATCATATTTCTCATAATTTTTATTGATCTTTGCAGGAGGAGGACTTGCATGATATGCATTGAGCTTGGTGAAGCTTGTTGGGCTCTGAACTTCTTGATGGCGGTCTTGTAATTTGGTGGGTGTGGAGATAACTTTCTTCTTGTTTGATCTCCTCATCTTTTCAATTTCGGAATCCCATTGGTCTGTGAAGTCAGTGTACAGCTTGTCCAAGTCTTTGTAACTTGTGGTGTGGAGATTGTTGAGGTCAACAGCAGTAGCATATTGAAAGGGGTTGTTGTAGACAGGAGGAGATTTTGGGAGCTTTTGGTAGCTTCCTGCAGAGAAGAAATTCTTCAAGTTCCCAAGGGTTTTCTGGAAGAACCTCTTGGTGTTGGAAATGGGATTTCTAAGCAGCATTGGTGGCACTTTTGGTGGGTGTGCTGATTAATTAAGTGGGAGTTGTTGGGTTTTTTTATTTTTTCTCAGTGAAAAAATTGAGGAGAAAGACTGAGAGAATAGTTTGAAATTCTTCTGTCAGTGGTTTTGGGTGATGATCTGAGTGCAGAAGGAAGGTTTCTTTATACAGATAGCAGAAGCGGAGGAGCCATGGAAGGTTGTTTAACGTTGGATGGAGAAAAGGGAATAAGTGCTCTTCCTCTCTTTGGCTTTTTTCCCTTTATGTTTCTTTGTCTCCACACGCTCCCTTGCTTCCTTGTTCTTTTTGGAAAATATGTTTCTTTCTTCGTTTTGGGATCATGATGACGAAATGAAAGATATATTGAAGCTAAAGGTGGTGACTTGCTTCTTTACATATATATAATAATAACAACGTTTCGTTACTTTTACTTTTGAAGGTGGAGTTGGTGTGTAGGCGCTTCAGGAAAATGAAAGGAGCTGGTGGTTGTTAGATTGAGTCTCTCCTCACGTAGAGGGATTGAGCACAGAACACTGTTATAGCCAACTCACCTGATTCACATTTCCGTATTAGCTAATCTTATTAATCACACTGTTACAGAAGCATATTGAAAGGGGTTGTTGTAGACAGGAGGAGATTTTGGGAGCTTTTGGTAGCTTCCTGCAGAGAAGAAATTCTTCAAGTTCCCAAGGGTTTTCTGGAAGAACCTCTTGGTGTTGGAAATGGGATTTCTAAGCAGCATTGGTGGCACTTTTGGTGGGTGTGCTGATTAATTAAGTGGGAGTTGTTGGGTTTTTTTATTTTTTCTCAGTGAAAAAATTGAGGAGAAAGACTGAGAGAATAGTTTGAAATTCTTCTGTCAGTGGTTTTGGGTGATGATCTGAGTGCAGAAGGAAGGTTTCTTTATACAGATAGCAGAAGCGGAGGAGCCATGGAAGGTTGTTTAACGTTGGATGGAGAAAAGGGAATAAGTGCTCTTCCTCTCTTTGGCTTTTTTCCCTTTATGTTTCTTTGTCTCCACACGCTCCCTTGCTTCCTTGTTCTTTTTGGAAAATATGTTTCTTTCTTCGTTTTGGGATCATGATGACGAAATGAAAGATATATTGAAGCTAAAGGTGGTGACTTGCTTCTTTACATATATATAATAATAACAACGTTTCGTTACTTTTACTTTTGAAGGTGGAGTTGGTGTGTAGGCTCTTCAGGAAAATGAAAGGAGCGGTGGTTGTTAGATTGAGTCTCTCCTCACGTAGAGGGATTGAGCACAGAACACTGTTATAGCCAACTGACCTGATTCATATTTCCGTATTAGCTAATCTTATTAATCACACTGTTATAGCCAACTAACTTGACTTGATTCACATTTCCGCATTAGCTAATCTCACTAATTCCTTTCCTTTTCCTACTCCCATATACACTACTGTATGCATATATGGTATAAAAAAAACTATTATGATATTTAAAAAGTGTTGAGAATGAAATCAATCCCATCTAGATAATGACATTTTAGCTTATTTAATCTCCTATTTTGGTTCTTTAATTGGTTCTTGCAAATGTAAGAGAAAGACCAATGATTCGGCTTCCACTCACTTTGAAAAGTGCCCGTCTCTACCATCCATCCCAAAGTCTCCAAAAGCTGAAATAATACATGGGATGCTTTTGGTTTGTGGTTCTCCTCCAATGTTAAAATGGTTGTCTTAGATTTGTTAATTGAAATGAGACCTGAGCAAAAGAGAAGGGAAAATTTAAAACAAACCAGCAAATTACAAGGCCAATGTAGATGACCTTACGGTTGTTGGATTGGCCAAATTGAGAGAGTGAGTGAGAAGAAAGTGATGCAGCAGCAGCTGATGAGTGAAAATGACAGAAGAACAGCTCATAGGTCTAGCAGATGGTTTGGCCATTCACAGCATGCCACGAGTCGTCCTAGAGTTGGAACCAGTCTCTTTCATCTCATCAGTGACTGAGTCCTCTTAGCTTACCCTGGGCTCAAGATCACCGCTGCTGCTTAAGGCTAACCTAATCACATGTGACATGCCTATGCCTAACACTTGTTCCACTTAAACCATAAACCCCAACATTCTCTACCACAAACCATAAATCCTAACATAACCCTAAATTTTAGTACCATAAATCTGGTATTAAATTAGATTTTGATCATTTGTCTTAGTAACATATTACTGTTATTTATTTGTGAAACTATTTTATTTTTTATTTTTTATACAAGCGATAGTCTAAGCTAATTCAAATTAACTTAACTTATGGAAGACATTCGAACTTGAGTGCTATAGGACGAGCTCATTATCATGAATCCATCTTATTCAAAAATGAAACGCTTAAATGCCCTTATATTTTTCTAACCCCGGGCTAGCCCATGTGCCCAGACTCATGTGGGCTTTTGCAGGGTTTAATTGTGTGGTTTAATCTCCTCCCAGTTAATCTCTCTTTCCCGAGCCGGGCTATAACAAGAAAAACCCTATTCACCTGGGAATGTGTGAGTAAGAGAGAGAGAGGGCACAAGAATCCAAAATATGCTAGAATTAATGAAAAATCGTTAGCCCAATGGAGATGCAGAGGTATGAGCATGAAGAGGCTCAGTAACCCAAAAAATGCGACCATTAATGCAAATATAGGCCAATGCACGCAACCCTCAAATGTAACATCAGTGGCACAGTAAGACATTCTTACACTGTACCTCCAATTTTATTGGCCCATCATAAAAAAATCCAATTCCTCTCTGGTTCAATTTCATAGAAGCAAGAGAAGCCAAATCTCTCACGGCGTGTAACATAGCTATCAAAGTATCAGACATGGAAATAAAAGCCATATAAATACATTCTACCTAACGGTCCCCCACTCCATCCTCAAAAATGTCTGATCCACTGTTTTCTCATTCCATTGTGTCATCTCTTTCATTTCAATTTTAGTTTAAAGCAAAACCCATTTGCCCCATTTCCCTTCCCTTGAAACAGACGTATCAGTTTTCATGGAGAAGCCACCACTGCTGCTGCTACCATTGACATCTCAGTTTCAAGGGCCTTTTCGAATGGAAAGTGTCCTCATCTGCATAACAAAACAAACCAACCCTTCTTTTCCCTTTCCCTTTTCTGTATACACAAAATTGCCAAATTGGGTAACATTTTTTCTGTAAAGTTTGGTTTTCATTTTTGGTCAGATCATGAGGCTTTGAATGCCTGTTGGTTTTCAATCTGAATTTGAATGCCGAAAGATGTTGGAAGGAGGCTATGCTGCAGACCCTACTACAGCTAGCTATATTTGATGTTAGGGTGGTTGGGTGTGCTTGGTTGGTCTTGGTTCTGTCTTGCCTCTGTTTTCGAGAATCAAATTTTGATTCCATTAACTAAGCAGTAAACAGTTGTGGTTGACAACACAACAAAAATCAATGGCCCAATGATATATCTTTGTCTGGCTTGCATAACAACAATTTTCAAATATTAACAATATGGTTTTCTTGTCCACCGCCAGTGTGCCAATAATCCTAGTCAATTGTATGGATATGAAGCTCACAGTAAGAGGATATTTATTTATACTATTCCTTAAAAGGGGAAAAATAAACGATGATGTTCATTTATATTATAACTAAACGATGATGTTCATTTATATTATAACTCGTGTACAAGATGTATTACGTGACCATGTTACTGTAGTATTCTATAATCTCTCCCAAAGATGAAGACTAAATGAGAAAACCCCCAAAAATGTTCAAATTAACTATAGTCTTTTTAGGTAGGGAGAAGGTAGGCTGCATGTGGTACAACAATAATGTTCAATCACAAGAACTTACCTTTAGGGAATTTTGAAAATTGGATTTACCTTTTTGTCTTCTTTTGGTGCAATCTTGGAATGAAAATTCAAAAAGTCCAACCACACAGAAAAATTAGAGCAACTTTATGTGATCTAACACTTGCTTTCCCCATCTTTCAAGTGTCCAAGTTGAAAAAGTTTCATCCCACACTCAGAAAGTAATGGAAACATCCATAGACTTTTTTTTTACTCCTGATATACTTCCCTGAAACAATCTTTTTAAAAAGCATCATGGAAACTGCCACACCATGTTCATTTCAAAAGCAATTGAAATGCTGCCTCTTCTTTTCTTATCTTCTTCTTTCTTTCTGCTTCATATTTTCAAACAGCAATGTCTTTTCTGTCAAATCATAAAAGAAAACAAGAAAATAAACAAGTACTAACCCAGAAAGGCAGTAGAAACAAACAGGAATCTAAAGGCCACTTTTAGTCCATTCAACTCTAAAACAAACAGATTCACAGTTTCTAAGAATGAAAAACAAAAACAAAAAAAATCAAATACAGAGAAAGGTAACTAGAAGTTAGAATTCTAACTATTTCTTCCTTAGAAAAACACAGATTACAGAGGAAACAGAGAGAACAGAGAAAACAGAGAGGGTTTTCTTCAAGATCCCCAGTTAGAGAACAGAGCTTCCCAAATCTCAGTGAAAACCTCAAGAATAACTCTATGATGAAGAGGCGAATTCAGTGACAGAAAACACTGCAAAAGCTGCTCGAGATCCTTGGCTGAAAATATCTGCTTCTCAACGATCATTTCTACCATTGATGTCCTGAAGTCATTGTACGGATCGCTCGACTTCTTCACCACTGCAAAGCTATCCTTCACTTTTCCTTGCATTGGAAGCAGACCCACTTCAGAGCTCGCTCTTCTCCGGCTAGTACTGTGTCCGTTTCGTGGAGGACGACGTCGTAATCGAGACCCAGATGAATCAGAAGAGTGGCTCTTTGAAGAAAACAGAGTATCTGTCTCGTCCTCTCTCTCATCGTCCTCGCTGCTCGACCACCACCCTTTGTAGTTATTACTATCAAAAGAAGAAGAGCTAAATGGGAAAAACTCGCTGCTCGGCTTGTTCTTCTTAGCATTGCTCGTCTTCTTCTTCTTGTTCCTCTTCTTTATCTTATCTCTGTTTTTTCTCTGTCTGAAGCTCTTATCATGGAGGTCGTAGAAAGGGTTTAAAGCTGCGAAAGGTGAGGCTGGAGGGCATGTTAGGCCATCAGGGTTAAAGGGCTTAACAAAAGGGGAACAACGTTCAAAAATTTTGCGTCTTGGAAGCATGACATCTTTGGTAGAGATGACACAGTGATTGTTGATGATGGGTTGGTTGGGGTCTGAGCATTTGGGTCTGCAAATGGTGGGGAAAGGTCGGGCCACCTGCTTAGGAGGCTCAATGGTGGGCAAGTCTTGCTGGTTTTCGGGCAAGAACACTGCTTTTTCGATCACATCCGATAAGTTTCGGGATCGGCAGGAGCCAAATGAGGAGCGGAACATGTTAGAAAGCTTGAGCTTGAATCGGTTTTCCATTGGAGAGAGCTATGGAGAACAGAGTTTGAGAGAGAGAGAGAGAGAGATGGATGTGTGTGGATGAAAGGGGTATAAATGCATGAGAAACCTAAAGTGGGAGTGTTTTGAATGGTATTTTAAATGCAGTCTGAGGAAACTTTTTGCTGTTTTTGTCTTCTTCTTTGTCCTGAACGAGAAAATATTGGATTGATTATGCACTGTTTGTTGTTGACCTTGTAGCTACATTCCTTTTTCTTAATTTTGTTTTTGGGGGTTTCCCTAGGTTGTGACATAATGAACCAACTTTAGCCCCCAACTAATCTTTTGTTTTTCTTTCTGTTTTTGGTGGTTTCCACCAATTAATTTGAATCTTGCCTTGAGAATGAATGGGAAATTATTACTTAGATGTAACTTACTATAGGTCTGAAATTGAATCCTCTGTTTAACGTTGTACTTGTGTGAAGCTGCAATAATATTATTTTGCTATCTCTGGCCAATCATGACATGTCACGTTTGATGACTTTTCCATGTGTAAGTCTGTGATTGGATGGCTGGGGATAGTAAAATAGTGCTATCCCCAATTCACACAAGTTTTTCTGCAAAATGAGGGGTGTTTTAATTCAATGTTAGTTTTAGTATTTAATTAGAAACTCGATGAATGAAACCATGTAATATAAGATTGAGCATAATATCAGAACCTTGTGTGAAGCTGCAATAATATTATTTTGCTATCTCTGGCCAATCATGACATGTCACGTTTGATGACTTTTCCATGTGTAACAGTGTAAGTCTGTGATTGGATGGTTGGGGATAGTAAAATAGTGCTATCCCCAATTCACACAAGTTTTTCTGCAAAATGAGGGGTGTTTTAATTCAATGTTAGTTTTAGTATTTAATTAGAAACTCGATGAATGAAACCATGTAATATAAGATTGAGCATAATATCAGAACATACAACCTAAACAGAGGGTCCTAAATGTACATTTGCCTGCATTATTAGAGAGATATGTAGTAATATTCTTATGATAAACTAAAGATGGCCTAGTAAAGGTGTTTTAAGTTAATTTTATCAAGTAGTTGTGATTCTGATCTTATTCTTTCTCATTAGGCATGGGCTCTGCCGTTTGGAACTTTGAACGTTTCAGTGTGTAGCCAAAAGGGGGGTGCTTGGGAAGTTTTCAATGGCCAAGTAAGAGAGGAAGAAATGTCCAGTTGTCTGGGAAATGCCTTGTATCTATACTTAGGGTTTTGCAGTTAATTTTGTTATTTTGCCATATAAAATTCATGGCTGGAAATATTCCCCTCCCTCTGATAAAAATATGTTAGTGGAATAAAAAGTCACTATAATATAATGAAATCTGAGGCCCCTCTGGCTCTGGCTCTCCTGAGCCCTGTGAGAAGAGAACCTTTGATCTTATTGTTACATTATTATTTTCAAAACAGGGTTTGCAGTCTTGCAGAGGGACAAGGACAAGTACCCTTCTCAAACACACAAACAGAGATATGCATGAAGCATGGAAATGGAAGGGTGATTAGGCAGGCAGCACCTCTCCTCTTTATTTCTAATTGTAGGCGCAGTCTGGCTTTATGGCACTATGCACTCGTGACCCAATAATTCGAATTTGTACTGCTAATTAAGCTACATATATATATATATATATATATATATATATATATATATATATATATATATATATATATATATATATATATATATATATATATATATATATATATATATATATATATATATATATATATATATATATATATATATATATATATATATATATATATATATATATATATATATATATATATATATATATATATATATATATATATATATAGAGTTTGCATCAGCAATCAAAAAAAGAGAGCTGCCTAAAAAGGGGTGCCATGGAAAGTGGAAAGCCACCCTAAACATGCAGGTTTGTAACCCACCACCACCCTGGTTCCATGCATATTTTCATATCACAGAGAGAGAGATATATATATATCAGAGAGATTTGAAATGTGAGATTCAGAGTGGAGGACAAAGGTTATATTGTCACCTTTTCCATGTTGTATATGGGAAATATTATTGTTTTATCAGCCTTTTGATGTTTTCAATCTGAATTTGGTTTTATATGTCTTGTCAACATATTCATGTCTGCTTCCAATTCGTCGACTGGTTAAAAGACAAATTGAAAGGACCTAAAACTCTTGGCTGCACCAAAGAACTTGAATTTCATTTCATTTCATTACTGAGTTATTACGTACGTTTCAATTTTGCCAATAAAAACAAACAAGTATATGGGGTCAAAAACCTGTGTGCACATTATATAATTAATATGATCAGTCAAGATCCATGGCTCCATCTATAAATCTCTTAATTTGAAGAGCATCTCAAAGTCTTAGAAGCTTCCAACAGCACAAATACATATCAAGTAGGCCAGGTCCTCAGCCTTTACAACCAAGATGGCTCATGCAACCAAAAGCTAACAGACAGTCTTTCTGCAGTTGGATTCATTTTTCAAGTGGAAGTCAGCTCAGTGACAAGAAGAAACCTCTTGGCAGGACATAGATTTCCTCATCCACTACTCTCACTTGCTTTCATGCTTTGGTTATGATTATAAAGGCCAGGCCAGAGGCTCTGAAAATTTCAAACCAATTTGATCTGGACTTGCAAAAGGGGTTAGTGTTTGACATTTTTGAGTATGACTTTTGGGTGAAGTTATGAGTTCATTTGTAGAAAATAAGGGAATATTTTTGGAGCAAAACAAAGACAAGGGCAATAAACCAAACCATGAGACAAGTTTTCATAACACTCATCAACCATAATTTTATATGCAATCTCTAAAAATCAGATGGATATATGTTTTGTTCAGTTAAGCATTCGAAGTTGCAAATTTGGAAGGCTTTTTCAAATCAATCAAAGGAGGGAAAGATGTGAAGCCAATTTATAGGCACCACACGATGGAAAAGTAAAAGGATCATGACTCATGACAAAAGCAAAAGAACTTACCCATAACGGGGATATTATTGTTTTACTACCCCCGATCAATAACACAATAACACATGAAATAATTATTCTACATGTAATTGTGTTATTGGACAGAAATGAGAGTTTCTCTTAATGAAAAGTGGTTTGGACCTTTTTTTTTTACCATCTCCAGTAACTCAAGTCAATCAAACTTCAGTTTTTGTATAGATCTACCCGTGAACAACTATTTTTGTCTTGCTTGTTTGTCATCCTCTTGTCTTGTCTACGTTTTATGTTCCCTCTTGTTTTACACACTTATGAGTACAGTGGTTATACAGTTATTGGATATTAGTCAGTTCTGATATGATCTGTTTATTTTGCAGCCTCTGTCTCCCTCTCTGTAGAAGTGATATTAGAGCGACTCTAGCGGGAGGGGCTAGCCCGAGCAGCAAGTGGCTCCTTTAGGCCCCTAATTCCATTTCCAGCGGCTAAGGCTTGCTACTAGAACAAGTGCTGGGCTCCACTAGCCCGAGCAACGTCAAAAGCTGCTGCATGGGCAATATGACTTGATGATAACGTTATTGTGACGTCAACATGCAATTTAAATAACAAAAAAATTAAAAGAAAAAGAAAAAGGAAATAAATTTTTTCAGATTTTTTATTGTTTATAAATACCTAGCCATATTCTTCATTTCCCATGCCAAAATTCTATATAAATTCCTCTCCTCATATCTCATGTGAATAGTGGTTGCCCCTGGCTTGCCATGGAAATGGGTGGAAAACCAACAACAAAATTGCTAGGGCAGGCACTATTCATATGAATAGTAACAACTGTTGTCTACCCTTGCCTTTTGCTATGACAAATGGGTAGAAATGCTCTTAGTAAACGCTTTAATCATTTGAGTAACAAACTCCTTACTCTATAACACTACGTAAATAGGTTTGACGCGTAAAAATTGTCTTGTGTTACCGGTTATGTCACTATGGGTTTAATTCATCCTTACTTCGAACAAATGTTATTTTGCAAGCCACTTATTATTGCAGCTCTTTTACTTTCATACTTTGTGAAGATACAAACACTTTCAAGTACCGTAACACATTATAATGCATAGTTAGAATAAGAATACAGTCACTACATTTCTCTCAGTTCCCTTACCCTATTGGCAATGCTTGTATCTCTATCTTCAAAAAGAGCCCCCATCTCTTCTAAGGTCTTGCCTTTTGTCTCTAGCAAAAAGAAGTAAAAGAAGATCGTACCAACTACCATGATTCCCGCAAGCACAAAAAACATTCCACCAAATGTTATCTTAATAGAAATGGTTAGAAACGTCATTGACACCACCCCGCTCACCAACCGCTTCACCAATATGGCCAGGCTCGAACCCTGGGCCCGTAATCTCATTGGAAGGATCTCTGATGAGTAGACCCAGGTTATTGGCCCAAGCCCAATTGAAAAGAACGAGACATCGGCGCAAACAGCCACACCCACAATACACAATGACATGTTACCACGGATAACCCTATACCGACAGCTGGCACCACGGATAACCCTAGCATTAATCTCCAATTTATGTTTGGCGGCAGGCCAGACAAAGCATAATTAACTACGTAACCAACTAACAGGCCAAATGTGATGAACACCTCAGGGAGAGAGGTGAGGAAGCCCCATCTCATGGCGGGGGAGAGCTCTGCGGTGTAGATTGGGGCGATCATGAGGGCGTAGCCCACTCCAATGCCAGCCACGGCACGTCCGACCATGAGGAATAGGTAGGATGTGGCTAGGCTCATGAGGAGTGCACCTATTAGGAATGTGCATGCGGCTAAGACTGCAGTGTAACGCCTACCTATATGATCAGATGTTTTCCCGGATGCTAGCGATCCAAATAAAGAGAACACATTTAGGGTTCCTACCAAGATTTCCACTTGGGTTGATGTGATCTTGAGGTTCTCTTTGATGTAAAGCACTGCCCCGCTCATCACTCCAATATCTGCACAATTTCATGCATTTTTTTTGGGTGAAATTGAATTGAACTTGTTGAATTAATCCAAAACAAAAAAAGAACTTACCATAACCCAACAGAAGGGAGTTTGTGGAGGCCAAAAGAGCGCAGACGACGGTGAATTTGTTCATCCCAGTCCCAGCTTTTTCAGAATTGGCCTTGGGATTTTGGTGTTGAATTTCAGCCACATCCATTTTCCTCGGCTCTTTTTTTCTTCTTCTGAGAATTTGTAGATGAAAATCTGTGACTCACTGACTCACTAACTCACTGGGGGTTTTTGTGGGTGGGTGAGGAAGAAGCTAAGAGTAAATGGGTTTTGTTAGGTTGCAGAGAAGGACCAAAATTGCATGAGGAATGAAGAACACGTTCTGCAACTGAAGCAATCACATTGTTTAGGTGGCATTTCTCTATTGCCATTTACTTTTGTTATGTGGTTTAGGCCCAAAATCCAACCACAGACTTGTGCACCTGTCCATGCTACTTTCGAGTCTCCTGCTTGCTATAAACGTTGTTGAGTCATCTCGTTCATTCAACTTCTTATCTCGAGTCATATCTCATTATATTTCCTTTTTTATAGATTTGGTAAAATAATAATAATACGGTATTACCCTTTTGAGGAAATAAGGAAAATAATTTAATCTCGTTACTAACATCATCTTGAATATCCAGTGCAATCTAATTCACTAATAAAATCTAAAATACAATCTCTTTAGCGTTACTCACAATGCGTTAAAATGTGGACAATTTTTCATGACTACGACTAACAAAGAAGCATTTTATGGTTCTCCTCCTCCTCTTCCTCATGGACTTGATCCTCAAATAGAACCCCAATTTCTTCTAAGCTCTTCCCTTTGGTTTCTGGCAAAAAGAAGTAAAAGAAAACTGTGCCCACCACCATTATTCCCGCAAGAGCTAAAAACATTCCTCCAAATGTTATCTCCCTAGAAATGCTTAGAAATGTCATGGCCACCAACCCGCTCACCAATCTGTTCACCCCTATGGCCAAGCTTGAACCTTGGGCCCTCAGCCTCATTGGAAATATTTCTGACGAATATACCCATGTGATGGGCCCAAGCCCAATAGAGAAGAATGAAGCAGCAGAGCAAACAGCCACCACACACAACCCAATTGCCCAATCTGGCTTGTTACCTGAAAACTCAAGAAACTTTGAACCAAAGCCCAAAGCTGCCAATGAGATTGCCATGCCAATAGAGCCCAATAACAGAAGTGGCCGCCTTCCAAACCTGTCCAAGAACAGAGCTGATACCAGAACAAAGGAAGTCTTGGCTATGCCCATGAGGATTGTGACACCCACAAGATGTTTCTTGTTGTGAATTCCGGCCTCCCTGAATACCTCCGGGCTGTAGTACACAACGGCGTCATTGCCGGAGGCTTGCATGAAGAAGTTGACGCCGATGGCAGCGATTAGAATGCGGCGGATGGGCCTAGTGGGCCTCAATAGTAACTCTTTCCAAACCCCTTGTCCATGCCAGTTGCTGCTTGATGAAGTGCCTGCTGCTGGGGTACTAGTGATCAACAGTGAGGACGCAGCTTTTGCTATCTCTTTGAGTCTCAATTCAGCTTCCTCTTTGGTTTCAGATGTTCTCATCAAAACCTGCTTTGCTTCATCTAACCGGCCTTTCATGACCAACCACCTAGGCAAAAATATCAACAACTATATATTAAGTATATGTTATAAAAATTTGAGTGAAATATAGCAACAACAAAAAAGGAACAAAATTTCAAACCATTCACCTACCTAGGTGACTCTGGCATTCCTAACACAGCTAATGCAACAGCAATAGCAGGGAATGCTGCAAGGCCAAGCATAAGTCTCCAGTTTATGTTTTGCGGCATGCCCGATAAAGCGTAGTTGGAGATGTAGCCAAGTAGAATTCCTCCATTGATGAACACCTCAGGGAGAGAGCTGAGGAAGCCCCGGGTGAGAGCTGGCGAGAGCTCAGCCACATAGACTGGGGCAATCATGAGAGAGTAGCCAACTCCAATCCCAGCCACAACCCTACCAGCTATTAGGAAAGGGAAGGATGGTGCCAGTCCCATTAGAAGCGCACCTATTAGAAATGTTGCTGCTGCCAGGACTATAGTGTAACGCCTGCCAATCCAATCTGAAGTCTTGCCTGAGGCAAGTGATCCAATCAAAGAACATACATTCAGAGAACCAACCAAGATTTCTACTTGGGTTGTTGAGATATTAAGGTCCTCCCTGATGAAAAGAGCAGCACCACTCATCACCCCAATATCTGCAAACAAATCAAGTCGTCCGTACTTAGAAATTAAAACAAACACACCCTCCTCTGTTCCGTTCTGTTCTTGATGAAATATTTTCCTTTATTTTATTATAATTTTCAATGAATTAATTTGGTTTAATAGAATCGTGGGTTTTATGTGGACTTGATGGCTGAAAAATATTGAGGAAGGTACTGACCATAACCCAAGAGAACAGAGTTGGTGGAAGCCAACAAAGCACCAGCAAGAGCATATTTGTTGAGACTGGGCTGTGTAGCTTTGAGTTTTTGCGGTGGATGATCAGAAGCTCCGGTGGCCAGCACAGGCCATGTTGGTTGTCTTTTACTGTCACTTGTCAGTTGGGTATCTGCAGAAAATGGGGATTTAGATTCTGAATCAGCAGCAGCAAGTAAGTGATAATGGTGGTCCTTGTTGCTTGGCTCCATTAGCGTAGCAGGAGCGAGTGACGATCTCTGTGTTGGGAAGACGGTAAAATATCTGTGCAAGTCGTTTGTCGTTTGAAGGAGGGGATGGATGTGCATCAGTTTTTGTATATATCATTTGCATGTATGGTAATTGAAGACAAGTATATCTTCTATATTTGCTCTAACGTAAACGGTGAATTAGTAATTAGAGAAATGGAATGGATGGTGGAAGTGATTTTTAGTCTCATTTTCTCCGTGCTCCTTCCTTTTTTTTTCTTTATAGTTTTTAAAGACTGAATAAATGGAAGGAGAAGAATCAATGGTCCAAAAACAAGGGAATGAGTGTATAAGGAGAAAAAAGAGAATTTGAAATTCACTATGCGTTATTAAGTGCCTGCGTTTACTTTTTGGAAAAGCTGCTTTTGTAAAGTTAGACAGGCCACGCTGCCTCCACACGCCTCCTCTGTCATATTCATATGCCTGCCAATATATATATGGCAGGACTCATGAAGAGAGATGGACCAAGCCAGCACACGCAGCTACACAACAATACAACATGCATATGGATATAGATTAGCATATCTTAACAAATTTAGCGAGCATGCATTTTATATATATAATATATACATATATTGTGATCATTATCAATATCATGTATTGATTTGATCTGTAAATAATGGCCAACAAAATGTCCTGTACCATTATTATATATGTATCCCGATTTTGGCAGTGGGGTTGGGAGGATAGGGCACAATCTGATGGAGAAATACTTTGGTAAGTGACACGAGAGATAGGAACAATGCAACGGGATAGGGAAGTTTTTCTCCCGCTTATAAGCCCCCAACTTGGTTTGAATGAAAATTGAACAAGCTTCAGTTGAAGAAGAACAGTTGTGATTAAGCAGCACTTGAAATGTGACAGAAGAATAATTGCTTAGATTCGAATCCCAAATTCTGATAGAGCTCAAAGCAAGCAAACCCCACAGTCCCACACAATCATTAGCTAGCTAGCATGCTCAGTTCAGTCGAGTTGTACCAGCAGAAGTCGATGGAGAGAGTGACTAATAGTAATAACCAACAAATGACAGAAGACGAATGTTCCTCTATATTTCAAATAATATGCAGTGCAGCCTCTGTTGTTCTTGGAGCAATATTCATTTGCAAATTGAAACACCAAAGAAAATGAAAAACAACTTAAAAGCACCATTTTGCTTCCTTCTTGTCAGATTTGACTGACAGAGGACTGCTAGTGCACTGACTGACTGCCACCATGGATAGTTCAGTGGGCTCCACCTGCTCTGCTGTCATGCTAAAACGGCGCCATCTACACAATGTAATTTAGACCCATGCTGAGCGCATTTCAGTGGCAAACTTTAAAACCAGAAAGAAAGAACCAAATAACACCGCTACAACCACACCGTCAAGCTCTCAACTTTGAAGCACAATAAGCTTCAACATTCTCCCATCCAAACTAAATTCTAGTGTTTCTTCTTCTGCCATTGCCACAGAATCAAATTACCAAACATGGTAGGGTGAACTTCTCCATCCCAAATTTCAGATATGAAAATTTTAAGTATAAATGATACAAAATTTGAAACTTTTCGTTTGCTTTGATTTTACTCTGTTTTGTTTTGGAACGAAACAGAGCAAAGGAACGGCAAGCTTCGGGAAGAGGAGGAACAAGACCCACACGCTGTGCGTGCGGTGCGGCCGCCTTAGCTTCCACCTTCAGAAGAGCCGTTGCGCCTCCTGTGGCTTCCCTTCCAGCCGTTTCAGAAAATGTCACCTTTCATATTTTTAACTCTTGCTCTTGATTTCGCTTCCTTTATTTATTTTGTTTTTTGAGTTTGCCAATTGTTACTTATGTGGTGGGAAAAAAATAACTAGATAACTGGAGCGTGAAGGCGATCCGAATAAAGACAACAGGGACTGGTAGAATGAGGTACCTTCGCCACGTTGCTGTGAGATTCAAGTTTAACTTCAGAGAAGGTAACAATAACAAAGCTGATATATTATTTCTTTAGATCATCGATGCTATGATGAAAAATTTGATTTTCATATAATGAATTTGTGTTGTGTGCATTGTTTGTGAACTTCAAGGTACCAAGGCAGGTCCAAGAAAGAAGAGAGCTTCGTCATCGTCTCAAGCTTCTGCGCTTTGGGTTGGCTATGAATACTAATAAGACTAGTTTTGGCTTGTAGTTTAGTTTGTACCAGTAAGTAACATGTATGGAGTTCATTACAGACTTGGGCTTTTGTAAACTACTATATAAACAAACGACAATTCAATTCTCAAAATAATCTTTGCTTGGAGCTGAGCAGACCAGTCTGAGTTTGCTCTTTACATACAGTATTGGCCTGGTCAAACATTACACAAGCTCAATCAGAGATTTTTCTTTTTTCTTTTTTATGGTATTTACATATAAAGAATTAGAGCAATGAGACTGGGAGACAATTCTACAAACTCATCCCTGAGTTATCAATATATTCAGAAACCTGTGAAGCAAGTTGATAGGACCAGTTCACAGCAGTGCCAAAAAAGAGCTCCCAAAACCAGAGATCCAATGCAAGCACCGAGGAAAATATGAGCAACGCCAAAGTCTGGTAGCGGTTCAAAGGCCAACCTGATACTTCAGCCATTTTCTTCAGAAATGGAAGGGAACTGCTATTAAAATCCTGCTTTCTTATGGACCACGCAGATATCCACTGCGCCTGAGTAGGGATCAGCTCCAGCTCTTGTAATCGCCTCCCGAGATCCGGCATGTGACCCCCTCCGTATAGTATTGCAATCCTGTTATTTCCACCGTCGATTGCTTTTCTAAGTGCATCCATGGCGGCTCTGTTTCTCTCACCAATAATCACAGAGCTCTCTTCTACATCAGCCGTAGCCTGCGTGAATCTTAAACAAGTAAAATACTTTTATGTCAGTTTTGAGAATTTTGCACCAACCCACAATGTAAAACCATACGCTTTTGAGACGAAGAACCCAAATAATAATTAGTTTGAACAGCCATGCAATATGTTCAGCTGGAAGCAGTAAAGAAAAAGAGCAAAAACTTGGCAAATCCTTACTCGGATGTTAGCCTCTTTGCCAAGAAGACCTTCATTGCTGCACCAAAATCAAGCCTAGACAAGGCTTCTAGTTCTGGAAATTCTGAGTCCTCACTGCCCGTGTCTGCACAGACACCTCCAATAATGAGAAGGCCGACAAGTGGCATAGGAAGCACACGTGCAGCCCACTTAAGCTTAGATCTCCAAGGACCAAGGCCTTCTGGGATTGTAGCAGTTTGAATCATAGCTTTCGTGGATCTAACAGTCATGTCTCTTGCAAATGTGAAGAAGCTTTCACCTTTTTCTTGCTGAAAACAAATGACAATGGCATCAGATGCAACAATCATATTATTCTCAAGCAATGATGGAAGAGAAAAGAAGAGAGATAGAGGTTCTTCATATATACAGCCCCTGAAATCAAACTACCTATGCACTACACAAAAAGGAGAGAGAAAATAAAAACCTGAAGCAATTGGAAAGTCTCGAAGTCGAGGTCTGCATGGTACCAATTCTCAGACTCGTAATCAAGACAGTCTAATTGGAAATCAAGCGTCAGAAATCGAGCCATCTGTCTCTGAATGCATCCCAGAATGTTAATTCCTTTTGAGCGTGAACCTTTGACTTTGAGTCTTTTTGTGGCAGCAAGGATTCTTCTGTTCTCTAAACTCTCCCTGCTTGTTACCATCTCATAAAGGACACAATCATAGGACTCTAGTTCCTTTTGCAGGGTCTCAAAGTACCTGGACATGGTACTTGGGATCATTAACATTGTATAATCTGGGACAGCCAATTTTTGCACATATAGGCTAATAAAACATCAAGTTATGACCACTGTCAAAAGTTACAATAGACACCAACACAAAGCTCAAGGTGAAGCTGAAAAAGAAATATCCTGCATATCCCTGATTCTGAAAATAAGTTTTGACAAATTCCATCTAAGTTAATTAAAGCGGTTTCCTAGCACCAGTTCTTAAAGTCTCTTACACTCTTGGCAAGCATAGGAGACTCATAATCAAAACTAGCCTTCACAGAGGTTTATCTTCATGGCATTTCCTTAGCACTTTATTGCCCTAAGTACATTATTTTCCTTGAAAGCACATCTCAAACAAGCCATGAGAACAGAACCTAAATGAAAGTTACCCTTGAAAACTTCATCTCTCAAACCACAAACATTATATTTACTAAGCTCAAATTGCGCCCACTGGTTGAGCGACAGCAAGCTTTTAGCTTCTGAGTACAGTAAACTATCAAACAGTTGCAATTACAAGTAGAAAACTGCCAAAATACTGAAGAAGAAGAACTTGCAAGAATAATAATGATTGTTAGGAAATACATACTCTTTATCCCCAATGTGAATTGTCGAAACCAAATCAACCTACAACAAACCCAGAAATTAGAAAGAAGACCCATGAAGAAACAAAAAGGACCCATGAAGAGAAGCCAATTCCATGCACAATACCTGAAGAAAAGGCCTCAAAAGAGACCAAGGGAACCTCTTTTTGTAGCTAACAACCGCAGTTTGCAACTCCCCAGTGCCTCCATCAACGCCCCTTTTGAACCTCATGAAATCCGCAATCGAATTGTTTCGTAAAAATTGCTCAGCCGAGCCATCCTCAATTGGGTTGATTGAAGAAGAACCAAAGACCTTGAAAGGAGCTAGCTTCGAGGCTTTGGGAAATTTAAGGCTTCGTTTGGATGCTTCAAAGGGCCTGACTTTAAGGCTTGTAGAAGTGGAAGAAGCATCGGTGTAAGCGTTGGAATTGGAGGGAAACGAGGATGTAGATGAGAGAATTGTGAGTGAAGTTGAGACCATGCTTTCTCTCCAGAGAGAGAGAGAGAGAGAGAGAGAATTGGGTGTTTGGATAAACAAAGAGGAAATGGCGTTTTTCGATGGTGTGGAAAGGAGTTGAACCTGGTTCAGGTTATTGCGAATTTTTATTCATTATTGTTTTCTTTTTGTGAATTTTTAAAATAAAATAATTTTTTCCTTGTATTAATAACAGAATCTTGAAATTTGTTTTATTTTTTGAGTTAAATGGGAGGAGAAAATTTGGGGGGGAGGTTTCACTGCAAATACCAAAACAAATAAAAGCTTAAAAAAAACACAACAATACAATTTCATACACCAAAACCAATTCATCGCATCCGTACAATAAATAACTATGGAAATTGCATTACGGGAGAGAACACGCAAGGAGGACGTATCCAATGAAAAAGAACCTGGATGGTTGACAATTTCAGACCCATGTAATGTAAATGGTCAGAGCTACTCCAGGGAAAAAGTTCACAATACAGCAAAGACATGTCGGACAACTGCGATCATAAACAAAAAGGAATTACAAGAAATCCCATGAATTTCATCTTACAAAAATCATCATGCACCAGAATTCGCTACTTCAGGATCCTGTTTTTTTATCTGATTTTACATGACTTTCTTGTGAAACTTTCACAGTGGACTCGTCTTCTTTACCACCATATGTCCCATCTGCCATGGAATCAACCTGAAGCGTGCAACCAGTCACAAGTAACCTGTCCTCTTGTCCTTCTTTCAGTTTCAGAGTGGACTCGTCTTCTTTACCATCATATGTCTCATCTGCCATGGGATCAACCTGAAGAGCGCAACCAGTCACAAGTAACCTGTCCTCTTGGCCCTCTTTCAGTTTCACAGTGGACTCGTCTTCTTTACCACCATACGTCTCATCTGCCATCGGATCAACCTGAAGAGCGCAACCAGTCACAAGTAACCTGTCATCTTGGCCTTTCCTCATTTTCACTGAAAACAAGAAACCACTTAACTTAGAACAATGCATGGTATAAGCCAACAATAGTACCCTAATTATCAAGGTCATCCTTGCCTTGCCTCAATCAGATGGGGTTAAAATCATCTACTATCACAAAATATGACAAATAGCTGACGATTCTAACCAAGGGGATTCTATCCAAATCCTGCTTAATTCTAAACTTTCATTATATTTGATTTATTTATACACAATTAGTATCAAGGGTCAAATTATTTCTATATCTGTTGGAAAAAAGACTATTAGAGTTGGAACCCCTATCCACAGTAAAGAAATTATTCATTTCATACATCCAATTTGATAGGGAAAGTCATGATATTTGTCAGAAACATGATAGAACCATTGTAACATCCTGTGGACATCAATGTGGTTTGCCGGACAAAGTAAATCAAAGATGTAGTGGAAAAAAGGATATATCCTGGCAATGTCTTTGAGGACATTAGTCTACTAGTTTCCTACCTTGCAGGTTACATCTCTTTACATGGTGGCATCTCAAGTGTTGGCTTCACAAAAGAAGCAGGAAATATCAATCAACATGCATCTATAAACCCTTCCATGCTCATGTAAACTTAAAATGCATGCTGTTGCATAGAAGTTAGAACAAATGGGAACCGGAAAAACATAGTATGATGAGATATCACACAAAGTAACAAAGAAAACATACTATGATCTTTTACACACATCTTCTAAAGCACGAGCCGAGGACACAATTTAGTAATATTACCACAGGAAGGGCCTTACCATCTTGAGGAGGCTGGGGGCGCGCAGAACCCTTCTTCCTGGATTCCTTTTTCTGTTCAGTATTGTGGTTCAGGTTGGGAACAATCTTTTCGTTCAGCTGAGGGCAAGTTGGGATGAGATGCCCTTTTTTCCGGCATATCACACATATCTGCAAGCAACACATCAAAACCAGAACATCACTATAAATTTGACTCCTAATCATAATAGAGCACTAACCCCAACTTCCCAAAAGATTACAATTAACCAATTTCTTCAAACAATAAGAAGAAAAAAAACCCAAAATTGATTCAAGTATATAAACATGAGCAATCCTTCTTTTCCAATTTTTGCTAACTACTAGGAATTATTATCAACTTACTAAAGAAAAATAAAAATAAAAATTAGATTCACCAATGATAAATAGAACCCACTTCAACATATTTTGGCCCTTCAACATCAATTTTCTTTGCCTCTGTGGTTTTGCTCTTCTTGCTTTTGACTGCTTTGGTTTTGCTCTTCTTGAATTTTACTGCTTTGGTTTTGCTCTTCTTGCTTTTGAATGCTTTGGTTTTGCTCTTCTTGCTTTTTACTGGCGCTGGCGCATCAACAGGGACTCTGGTTTTGCTTTTCTTTTTCTTCTTCTTCTTTCTTTTGACTGCTGTGAGTATTGGCTCTGGCTCCGCATCCACTTTAACTTTCTTTGCCGCATCTTCTTGTCCCGCCACACCAACTTGGGCTGCAACATCAACTTGGTTTGCCGCATCAACAGGGACTGTGGTTTTGCTCTTCTTGCTTTTGACTGCTGTGAGTATTGGCTCTGGCTCCGCATCAACAGGGACTGTGTTTCTGCTCTTCTTCCTCTTCCTCTTCTTGCTTTTGACTGCTGTGAGTATTGGCTCTGGCTCCGCATCAACTTTAACTTTCTTTGCCGCATCAACAGGGACTGTAGTTTTGCTCTTCTTTCTCTTCCTCTTCTTGCTTTGGACTGCTGTGAGTATTGGCACTGGCTCTGGATTTGCCTTTATTTCTGAATTCGGTAGAGCTTGCTTTATTAAAATAGATTTTTGGCCATCAATAATGGGATTTCCATCAGCATCAACATAGATTAAGATTGGTTTCTGCGGGTTCTTCTTCCTCTTCTTCTTGTTTGCGTCTTTTGGGAGTGTTGGCTCTACTTTTGGGAGCAGTTCGGGGTGCTCTACCTTTGGGAGGAGTTCTGGGTTTTTGTTCACCATTTTCGTCTCAAGCTGCCAAGGGCAAAGGGGTTGCAGAGATTTTGCGAGGGTTTTCGTTTGGCGAGACAAATTGGGGCTTTGAGGAGCTGCAGAGATGAGAAAGCCGAAGACTTGGTTATGGGAGACCAAATGAGTTCCAACATCGCAAGGACAAAGGTTGGCATGACCCAACAAATAGGTCCATCAGAGCATCAAGGCCCATCAGCCAAACTTTATTTCTTTCAGTTGGATCTTGGCCCTAGGTCCAATAAATTAAGAAAATTTTAGTGCTCAGAATCTCAGATGGAATACTTATAATTTAATTATGTAGCTGTTGTTAGAGCATCTCTAGCAACAGCTTCCAAAATTTGGTTAAATTTGATGACACAAGTTCATTTAGAGCTGACCACTTTAATTGTTTTCTAATGAGATTGAATCATTTAAGGGAGAGAGAGAAAGAGACAACAAAATTTGGCCAAAAATTAATTTTCCTCCCCTGACTAGTCATATTTGGCTAGCAACTGTTCACAGAGTTAATTGTGGGTGGCTAATCTGCTGGAGTGATTTTTTGGAGGAGTTTCAGTCAAATATGTCATCTAACATGATTTACAATATGAAAAACAAAACAAAAGAAAAAAGAAAGCAAGGAAGTTTACTAATCCGTAATTAGATTAGGATGAATTGAATTGAGGAGGAGTTGGATTGAGGAGAATTAGATTCCGGATTCTTATTAAAGTTGTTTACTAAACCATATGAATTGAGAGGAGTTAGATTCCGAATTCCTATTATTGAAGTTGTTTACTAAACCATATGGAATTGAAGTATGAGTAATGCTAATTACTAAAATGTCCTCATTGTTAGGTTAAAGTAGATGGCAAATTTGGAATGTTAAAATTTGTGTAAGGATATAATAGGGTAAAAAAAATGAATTCCTAATGGGTTAGTTCTCAGGAATTAGAATATCATCTCCCACCCAATAATTGAATTCCTCCAAAATCAAGAATTCAATTCCTAATTTTGTGTGGGCCCCACTTACTTTTCAATTCCTTGATGTAAAGCTCCTAAAGTGGAATTCAATTCCTGATTAGAATTCCAATTCCTGATTAGTAAACACAACATCCAAAGATATCTGTTAATTCATTGGACAAACTAAAGACTAAACGAGACATTGAAAGCTTTTGAACTATGGTTTTCTACTAACATATAAAAAATGTCAATTACACCAAAACCTGCCAGGAAGTAATCAAATCCCAACGAATAAAATAATTTCTGCAAATACTCAAAACCACTACAATCTCCAGCAGTAAGTGCAGCCGAACCTCATGACCACATGTAGAAATCAAGAGAGAGCTGGAGAAACAAATATTCCAAATCAATATGTGGGAGACCTGCAAAGCTTTTCTCTGCATGGTTATGATCTTATCACCTTTTCTTCTTCTTGTTTTTACTTTATTCCAAATCTGTCTCATTGTGACAAAATCCGAAGGCCTGCTTGTAAATCCTCTAGGGTGATTGTTCTAAGTTCATCTGTGTCTATACAGTCAAAATTGAGCCTAAGGTCCAAACTCTCTCTAGCATTAACTAACATCGTATCCACTAAACCTCCATTCATCTCCTTACACTGCTTTTCTGTTGTCTCTTCTCGAATCAGTTCTGCAACAGCTTCTATACTGCAAGAAGAATGTAACTGAAACCCATACAACAAGCTTTCCTCTGTTTGATTGTTCATCTTGATATGGAGAATCTTTGCTAGGTCTTCGGAACTGAAGTCGCTAAAATTGAAAAACTTGGTCACACGCCGGCAGAAACCTTCATTGGAAGCAATTACTCGTTTCATTGGTTCGCTATATCCCGCAAATATGACTACAATTTTTCCACTATCCATGACAGACATGATCTCTTCCAATGCTTCCAAACCATAGTCTTTATCGTCTGCCTTCTGCATAGGTATTAGTCGATAAGCTTCATCTACAAAAAGAATTCCTCCCTCTGCGTCTTTAATCTGTGCATAACATTATAATTAGTGTGTCACAGTAGAGTATTCGCATCAACCCTTACAAACTAGAACATAAATAATTTCAAAAATATCAACGTTTTACCTTCCTCCTAGTTTTTGGTCCAGTATGACCAACAAATTCCCCAACCAAATCAGTTCGCTGTACTTCTGTTACTTTGTCAGTAGGTAGAATTCCCACCATATGGAGTAATCTTCCAAGAATTCGAGCTACCATTGTCTTACCTGTTGATAACATTAACTATATTATATAATGATGATAATACGAGGATGTAACCTAAAAAAGCAAAAAAGAAAAGAAGATGCAGAAACATTGTTATGATCCAATCATCCAGATTGAAACCACTGTAGGCAATGCTTACCTGTTCCAGGATTGCCAAGAAACGCCATATGAGGGGGTCTCCTTGTGCCAACCTTCAGCCCAAGGGCCTTACGCCTCTCATCCAAAAGCATCCCCTTTGCCCATTTCCGTAGTTGTACCTTGAGCTCATGCAAACCAACAATATTTGATAATTCATTTTCAAGTTCATCCATCTTAGCTTTCGTTTCGCTGCATGCTTCAATTGCTCTTCTCCTCCTCTGCTCTTCAAAGTGAGACAGTAATAGTGCCTGCAGCTTTCCATTTTCACGGCCTTTTGAAAGGTGATTTAGGGGAGTCATACCCTCCTACAACAATTCAAAGACAATATCATTAGCATTTACATAGGTGCTATATTTGAGTAAATTGAATGCTGCAAGTAAATGCAATGAACTATACATCGTCCTTAGCACTGCAATCAGCATTGTACTCAAGTAATGTTTTGACAGTTGAGAACTCTTCTGCTCGAAGTGAGTACCACACAGCAAGGTGTAATGGTGTCATTCCATTCTGCATGGACAGAAGAAGAAGATTAAAAAAAGAAAAAAGAATAACACATTGACATAATAGTTAGAAATCTAAAACTTAAAAGAAACCGTATGATCAGGTGAAAGGCAACTTACATTTGCTTTGGCTTCAATAGAAGCACCATGAACAAGAAGCAACCGTGCAGCATCATTGCATCCATTCTTAGCTGCCATGTGCAATGGTGTTTCTCCATACTGCAAAGCTCAACATGTTTTAAATTGAATTTCAAAACAATTTGTGTGAGACAAAATTCTGATCCAGAAAGAAAACATTTTACCTACCATGTTCCTGGCTTCCAACTCAACCTTATCTGGCCCTTGCCAATCAAGAAGAAATTTAACTATCTCAGCCTTGTTGTAACCAGCAGAAACATGAAGTGGAGTTTGTGCCATCTGCATTTAGGGAAACAAATGATTAGCTGATAAAATAACCTAACCTGAATGTTACATTGAAGCATATAATAAAGAGCAAATAATAAAAGAAATGCCCTTCTGTTCTTTATAGCTTTACTAACAGGAACTTAAAATAAAACCTGCTAATCCTATCTTTCTTTACGCCTTTTTTAACTAAGCTTTCTCTGGTTGAAAAGGCTTATGAACTGGCCAAAGAAGTATATGCCTTCGAAAAACTACACAAAGTATGGGATCTCATCTTCAATTTAGCCACACAGACAATCCATAACTGAAAGTACAATTGACTTCAATTAGTGGAGAAGAAGCTCGTTCCCACCACTAGTGACAACCATGAAAAGAAACTCCCTTATCCATCGTCCAACGGTGAACACACTTAGATCCAGCCCAATTCCTTCTCTTCATTACACCAAAACATCATATGGTACTTAATTCACCATATTCCACTGCATTGCATTTGACAGACTCTACCAAATACATATACGAAAAAAAAGGTCAGTGCTTCCCTTCCTTTATACAATGGAAGTCTCAAGCTCCCCAACAAATTGTAACAACAGCCACATACAAATATAAGAAGATTGAAGAGCCCAAATCCTATATTAGGGTGGTTAAGAAACATGATCCAACGAGTGAAATTCACAAAATTTTCATAACCCAATTGGTAAACATTCCTAATGATGAGAATGGCATAAAATCCATCAAACAAAATGCACCCAAATTTGCAAAATGACAACTTTCAATACGAAGTTGAATTCTTGAAAATCCCATCCCGTGTATTCACACATACAAGAGAAAGAGATCTTACAACGGCATTTCTTTCGTTTAGAAGAGATGGGTTTTCCCGGAGCAGCTTCTGAAACCCAAGAAGGTCCCCGGACTGAGCGTAGCCATGAATGGTGACGGGCTTGGCAGATCTTGACCGTTGATCCGGATACCTCTGCATACCTCCCTCCCTCTGTGTACTTGTTGGGTTTTTGCTAGCTCTCCTCGTTCAGACAAAAGAAAGATGGTTGAAAATGAATTGAGAAAAACGAGGAGAGAGATTTTAGAGGGAGAGACTTTGGAGGTGTCCGAGTATGCGCATTTTTTTTTTTTTTTTTTGCAATTATTATTTTTGGCTATTTACACTTTTAGCAGCTCCATTTTTCCTTTCTTCCTCAACCCTCAGATTTTAATCATTTTATACTAACATCTTATGACCTTCATAAGGAAGGGGTGGTAAATCTAACACCTTTATTATTTCAAAAAATAAAATAAAATAAAAACCTTAGACATCGTTACAAATATTGGTCAGCAAACGAAAAGAGAAATATTTGCATGAAACGGGATAGCACTGTTTTGCTATTACCTATCAATAACGGTATGACATGCGTGATAACTTTTCCGTGTGACATAAAAAGTTAATTGGGAATAGTGTGCTATTATCTACCAATAACGGTATGACACGCGTGATAACTTTTCCGTGTGACATAAAAAGTTAATTGGGAATAGTGAAATAGTGTTATCCTGTTTCAACTAAGTTTTTCTCCAATGAAAAATGATCTTCTAATTCTTCTAATTCAGTTTGTTTACAACATTATTCTAATTTGATATTTGTTGGAATAAAAGATGTAAAGGTTACAGATAAACATTCATGTTTTTCTTTTTTGTACTCTCTAAAAAATTTCATATAAATTATCACTAAAAAAATTTGTAACTCAAGTATTAAATGACATTCACTCATCACTCAAAGTCTGTTCGATTCCTTTACCCACACTATCACTTGTATGATTCATAAAACAATCTCATAAGAAAAAGAATTTAAAATCAATAAAAATAAAATAAAAACCCAAATTTCTAGTAAATAAAGAAAAAGAAGGTAAGGTGAATGGGGTATAGCTTAATTTCACTCATATGAGCATAAGTTCGAAACCTCCTAATACCCGATAAATATTTGTGTAAACCTCCTCCTCGATCTCTTATAAAAAAAAAAAAATAATAAGGTAAGAATTTGGTAACCCAAATCCAACAATGGTTTTGCATGGATGGTGCCAGCAAAGAAAATGCGATGAACGTGATTTGTATTTGGTTAATTTTTTTAAAATTATAATAATGCATTCATGATTACTCATTTCATTATCATAATCATTGAGCACTAACCATAATGCAAGACAACAATGTTTTACAATAAAATAAAATGAAATAAAGACAATAAGGTGAGAGCACAAGCTGTGGTCCACTTTTATCCTTTTCCTAATTTCCTAATTTTCTAATTTGGGTCGGGCTTGGACCGAGGTTGTGCCTAAGTCATAGAAAAAAGCTCGAACTATGCCCATTATACAAACAGGTTTGCCCAGTCCACCGACAGTATCGAAATGGGCCGGACACTATGGGCCCAATTTCGTGGCGTAATCCAACGGCTGACACTTGCCAATTACAATACTCAATCAAAGCCGTGTTTAATGAGTACAAGACTCCTCATCTCGATGGTTTTAGCTTACCAACCTGTCCAACCCAAAAGCGACACGATGACACAGACCACGACGACACGTGTCACCTGATCATTAGCAGATAAGGTTGGTTTAACGTGTGGTCATCACAAGCCTCCTTGGCTGCATCCCCAACGCTCCTGCAAAATCTCCCGCGAATATAACTAGATATTTTCCCTCAGCTAAAAAAAAACATAAAAACCAAACGGCTTTATATATATTTTTAATTTAAAATATAATGTCTTTTCAAATTGAAAGAAATGATTAATGTGCAAGAATAGTTGGAACGCAAGCTCACAAAAGATTGGAGCCTCACTTTGGTGAACTTTCAGTCACTGTATTATCTCCAATGGCCATGGTTGCAAGGCTTCACGTATGCCCACAGAGCTTAGAGCACTTCAACTTCAACGACTACCATAGAACCGGCCCAACGGTCATCATCGGGTCGGGTTTTCGGCGCTTCGGTTCGGTACTGCCCACGGGACGTAATGGGTTTTGCTTGAAGCAGTGCAGGTCGTTTAGGGGTGAGGATGGACGGGACGTGGAGGAAGAGAAAGAGACAGAAAGTGCGGGAAAGCGTGGGGATTTGAAGAAGGGAAGTGGGATTTGGAAATCTTTGAGTTCTACTGTTTTGGGAGGTTTTGGTTTGCGTTCCAGAAATTCTGATGAATATAGGAAAGCTGTGGCCAAGTTGGAGGAGGTCTGTTCCTCGGTGAGTGTTATTTACTGGTTTTTATTTTTCATTTTTCGATTTGATTAACGTTTGCTTGTGCTCAATCATTATGATTTGGTTAGTTTGAGTATGTGTTTGTTTTCTTTAGTTGCTACAGTGAATAACTTACCAGTTTGGTTGCTGAGAAAATCCAAGGAAAGAAAGTTGATTGAGATTTTGAATCTTGAAGCTTTCAGTGATTGAGGTCCGAGACAAATGGAAATGATTTTTCAAAATGGTTCTTCTGTTAATTGGGTTTTGGTTATTCATTTCTTATAAACGGCATAAAAATAAATAAAATGAAGTTAAGCCTCAAGATTTTGTCACTAAAACTTTAGAGAAAACAAGAACACGAAACAAAACAATCGGCTACCTAATGATAGGACTCTTATGATTTATCTTGTTCTTAAGGCTTTTGAGATGCTTCTGAGTATCTAACCCTGCCTCTCTCTAAAACAATCAGGCTGCCATACAAATTGGAAGATATATTGTGACCATGATGAGCACTGGAGTTATACTAGCAATTGGGTTTCAGTTGTCAGGTTGGAAAGCATGTTACTTATATAGTTTTGTTATCTGTCCTAAAGCAATATTTCATATGCAGACCCCTAATTGTTGGGAAGTTTTGTGAAGGTGGAGACAGTCAGTTGAGTGAGCTAGTTTGGTATAGCTGGCTCGGAGGAGTTATTATTGGAACGATGATAGGAGCTAACATGGTTTTAGAGGAACACTGTCGAGCTGGTCCAAGAAATGTTGTAATTAGTGGAAGGTAGATACTCTCTCTCTTCTCTCTGCCTAGTTACAAAACGGATGCCCTATAATTGTAGTGTAAGGAGGGGTGGTACGGGTGGAGGCTTTGTAATTCCATGTTATCATGAAGAATCATCTCGTATAATTGCAATATGGTTACTGTGGAAGGGAAACCAAGGCATAGGGTAGATATATGATTGGTTTTTGGTCATTCAGAATAAATAATAAAAAGAAAGAAAGAGAAAGAAGGGATGCTTTTATTATTCTTTTCCCATTTACGTACTTGATTTTCATACAATGTCCGGATGAATTTTCCTTAAGAAAACCCCAATTCATATGAGATTTTCATGTTGCTGTTGTTTGTTTGATTGGCCGGTACAGTACAAGGGGACTTGGAAAAGCACTTGCTCGTGAATTTCTTCTTTCTGGAGATCGTGTGGTTGTCGCTTCTCGGAGGTGGTATTTAGATTATGATATCTGTTTGTATATTGACTTATCAACATCTATGTACCATGGTTATGGTGTTATAAATACTACTACTGCCACCTCAACCAATTACTGAATCTTGTCAATGCAGCCCTGAGTCTGTACAAGCAACTGTCAGAGAGCTCGAGGAAAACCTACGGGAAGGTATGATCAGTGCTGGTGCCTCCTCTAAGCACCTGGCACATGCAAAAGTGGTTGGAATAGCATGTGATGTTTGTGAACCTGGCGATGTGCAGAAACTGGCAAATTTTGCTGTTAGTGAACTCGGTAATATTGACATTTGGGTAAGCTTTTGAAGCTCTCTAGTGGATGTTTTATCACTTTGCATTTGGTGGTAGTGTGTTTAGATATTTTTTTAATTTATTCACTTGATATGCCATGGACTTCATGAGCTGTACTCTGATCCATATATTTTAGCAGCTTCAAATCTTTTACCATCTAATTTGTAAGCCCCTTGACAGATAAACAATGCTGGCACAAATAAAGGATTTAGACCCTTGCTTCAGTTTACTGACGAAGACATTAAACAGGTATTTGTAAATAAATGGCTCTTATTGTTGATAGTATTAGATGTAGCATCCGAGTGGCTTTATCATCCCCCCAACCCCCCAAAAATGCAAATGCAGCTGCCCTACAATGCTCCTGAAACATTACATTGTAATATATAATCATTTCAAACTTGTTCAACTAACTTAGCTCATACATTCTAGATTGTCTCGACAAACCTGGTTGGGTCTATACTCTGCACTCGAGAAGCCATGCGTGTAATGATAAATCAGCCTAAGGGTGGGCACATATTTAATATGGACGGGGCAGGCTCTGGGGGGTCAAGTACCCCTTTGACAGCTGTGTGAGTGCCTAGCCTTGTTAATGGAGAATAGCTTTTTCTTTTGTGGAAAGAGACTGAACTGTCACGTATGTTTTTGAAATTGTGATTTCTGATAGATGACAATTGTACATTGATACTTATGCTATTTTTTCACCTTTACCTTTAGCTATGGGTCGACGAAGTGTGGTCTTAGACAGCTTCAATCATCACTTTTAAAGGAGTGCAAGCGGTCTAAAGTAGGAGTGCACACAGCATCTCCAGGCATGGTTCTTACTGATCTGCTTCTGAGGTACACTGAATGACTTGTTCTCTGTGGTCCATTTCTTCTCTTGTTTCACTTATATCAATTCACTAGGCTTGTTGTTAAACGAGAATCTTCAACCTCATGAGCTCAATATAGAAAGTGTCCAAGCACCGGCTCATCATTAAATGAGTTTTCCCCAGCAGATCATACTGCTTACTGTGTAAATGGTGTTTGTTCATGCTAGCATCTGATGAATTGTCTATGGCTTGTTTGCAGTGGCTCTTCTTTGAAAAATAAACAAATGTTTAACTTCATATGCGAGCTTCCTGAAACAGTAGCTAGAACTTTAGTTCCACGGATTCGGGTTGTAAAGGGATCGGGGAAGGCCATCAATTACTTGACACCACCTAGGATTTTACTTGCTTTAGTAACTGCATGGCTTCGACGTGGTCGATGGTTTGATGACCAGGTAATTTTTTGACTTTTGTTGAAGTGTAAGATATGCTATATATTACCGTCCATCCAATGTGACAAATAGAGTTCATCTGTTGAATATGGTAGCAGCAGGAAAATCGTACCCAGATACTTACATTTGGATATGGTTCTTAATTTACAAGTTGGAAACAAGCAAAAACTGATTCTGGTATAATTTGCAGGGCAAGGCATTATATGCAGCAGAAGCAGACCGACTTCGGAACTGGGCTGAAAACCGCACGCGTTTTTACTTTACGGATGCAATGGAGATGTACACAGAGAACACTTGGGTGTCTGTCTTCTCACTCTCCGTTGTTTGTGCATTCATAATTCTTTCTAGCACAACCAGCAACTTTCCTGGTACTTAAAGATTTCCCTTATACTTCAAATCGAAACCGCTCGCACAAGCAGCAACCTTCAGGCAGATGCTATTTGTGAAGGACCAGCTGCATTGCTTGGGACAACAACCTAGGCAATAGAAAGTCGCCGATTGAATGGCGGGGTACCATTTTTTTACCCTGCATCGGTCACACACTAAACTTTTGTAAAGTATTCATTGTAGATCATCACAAGCCTATTTGACTATCACACATCGTTTACAAATCCAAACCGTGTGCGCTTTCTATGCAAAACCATGTAAAGACTTTTAAGTATTTGATTCCAAGTTGTACATGCTAAGAGTAGCAGCTTAAATCGCTATGATGCACCATAAAATTAGCTTTGCCATTCTCTCTCTCTCTCTCTCTCTCCCCTGGGTTTCGGTGTATATGGTCGAAACTCAAACAGAAAATCAGCTTTAAGTTGAAAAGTTAACACACTTGAGAGTTGTAGCTAGTATGGATTTTGTTCGATCAGATGGGGTTTACAATTCAGCATGTCTAGCATAATCTCATGATCAACGTCTACTCTATATTAACAAGATTTTAGAGGCAATCTTGCAAGAGATTTGAGCCAAAGCCCAATATCAAGTATCGAAATTGAAATTGAAAATATTTTAGAGCTTTGCACATCTCCCAAAATATAGAAAAAAAAATCTTATAATATTCAAACTTTAGTAAAAAATAAAAACCATTTTACTTTTTAAATGGACCGAATACCATACAAACCTTGAAAAACCTTAAAATTTACAACACTACCATCATATTTTTTCAATTATGAATAATAAATCAATGACTTGTGTCGTCTTTGTGCCGTAGCATAAAATGCGGTCCTTCTAGCGTTACTCTTGGAGAGAGCAGGGGAAATCGTGGCTGGGGAATGCTTATTCAAAAGACATTGTTTTGTCAATGGAGTCGTATAAATTCAACAATAGATTGAGTGTTCACACACACACCTAATCAATGATTGAATCACGCCGTCTTCATATTAACAAACAGTTGAAGGCAACAGGCCATAAATCATTTCCTTATTTGACAAATATACATAGAGTTACACATTAAGAATAAATTAAATTAAAACCCTAATGCCAAATGTGAAGGAATTGTAGTAGCAACTTTAGTAATCCCCGGTAGTTAGCAGGACGAGTTTATTATATTTATTATTTAATATAATAAAGCAGATAGCTGGATATTGAGAGAGAGCAGAATATTTTGCCTTCCTCTCACTTTAGTCAAAGTAGAAAAAAGGCGAATGTCATGGCACTAATTAGGAGAGAAGCTATCAATTACAATACAATAATACCATCGCCATGTGAGAGGCCACGACATTTGCACCTCCTCTGCCATTCAAATTCCAGCCCCACTTGATTAATCATTTTTATTATTGTTTTTGTTCCTTTTATTTATATAATATCGTATATATAATTTCAGCTTTTTCTTTTTCTCTTTTTCTCTTTTGAATTTAAAATATGACATTGTCAGGTAAAATGTCCATGGTCTTGACAATACTGCTGCCTTACATTACACGTTTGAAAAATGAACATGTGTGTCTGCCTTCCACGTCCACCAGCTCATCACCCTATCTTGAAGCATTTGCCGGCAGTTTGCTTCTCTTCCCCTTTAATTTTCTTTTAGTACCAAATTATTCATTTTATCGGTGTCATATGGTTTCCCTTCCTAACGAAACACCCTTCATTATATTGTCTAAGTAACTGATCGGCTTCCTCGCACTTAATTTTATCACGATCAATGCATATTGTATGACCTCTCTCCATCAATAAAATTCTTATAGATATATAAGAGTCGAACGCAATGCATCGTGACGAATCACATCATAATTACGGTGTGTGCGAGAGGATATCTAACTTTGTAAAAATAATTGAGGATTCCATTTTCTTTCTAAAGCACATCAATATGGTACAATTATGACCTCCTGGGCTTTGAATTGAGAGCTTAAAACAACGTATTAGAAAAGTACATACTCAGAGACTTAGAGGGAAGCTTCCAATGTTTAGACAAATAATGTCCACGGCAAGGTGTCTGTTTGTCTATAATCCTTAAATTAATTAAACATGACATAATCGCCGGCAAATCCAGTGCAATGCAGACCCAGATGTGATAATAATATTGACCAAAGTGCTGCTCATTTGTTGGGAATTTGACTTGGCTAAAAGCGGCCTCCGCCGCATGCCTGCAATTTTTGTGCTACCTCAAGTGCACACGAATATTGGACCATTTCCTGCTACGCTCCACGCATGGATATGGACAATTACTCTCTCTCTCTCTCTCTCTCTCTCTCTTGCTTATTAGGGTTTTTCTTTTCTGGGGCAAACCTCCTCTTCTTGGGTGGTTTTACTTTACACATGCATGCTGCTTATTACACTTGGCTTCTTTTACTTCGACCGTTCAAATTGTTCCATATGACTTAAAAACATTCACAACTCAGAAAATACATATAAGAACTTGTCTTGTTGATCAGAAATCAATCGTGTTGTAGAAGACTAAATTTCAAAAAATGACAATAAATTCTTTCCAAAAATAAGAAAAACATATTCACGAGAGCTTATAATTTCGGTGATAAAATTATCTTATTCTCGTGTTCAAAATAAGAGTTGGACTCTTGCATTTCAAATAAATAAAAACACTTATTCTCTTATTTGTTTTCGGGTCAATATCTATATTCTTTTAATAAAGCTTTCATCACTGAAGAATTATTCTTACAAACAATGCATAGAAATGAATTGTATATATAATGCAGTTCATCAACGGCTGAATTTAGAAGAGGATTTAGAGTGCATTAAATAATTAATTAGAGTTGGCATAACTCTTGTGTCTAGGAAACATGTCAACTTCGTCGTATATGGTTTAGCTGTTGGTGTCCAGCTGGTTTGTGGCTTTTACTTAGAGTAACAGCTACTGCCTAGAGCCATGCAAGGCTTAAAATTTCAAATCAGATCAATTAGGATCACCTAATCCCTTGACCATAATTTATTGCCTTCTTTTAAGCTATCTGGGTAGCGTTATTAATTGGATTAATTTGTTTCTACAGCTCACTTTCACATTTACTTCCCTTGCTTGAGCCATAATTAAATTATATATATGCGATTGGGAAACCTTTAATTTTGATTCTATACAAATTATATATGGACACTCCTTCTGGCTGAAAGAGGGTGTTTAATTATATATAATTAAAAAAGCACTATAATTTTTAATAATAATTTGAACATGCTTCTAATAAAAGCATTTTCAGCAAAAGTGCTTAATTATGACCAAAAGTGATCGAGTGTTGATCCTATATATATATCACTTTATGAGAAGCAGGATTACAAAAACAGTATTATGATGTAAGTTTGATGAGATTTTACACTTTTCATTTTCATGATCAAATAATATCTAGATTGAGATTTTTTTAATTAAGATATATATTATCTTGCTGACATAATTAACCTGTCGCTCCCTTACCTAATTAGGTTTAAAATTTTGGAAAGCAACACTAAGCAATTGTGACAAGGGAAGCAGCAATTTTGGCCTATGTATAGTGTATGGCATCAGAAAAAATCAACCCAAATTTGTCTCATAGTCTCTCTTTGTTCCTTTCTTGCTTGGAAGTTTCAGGATTTAGGTTTTCTGTCTGGAAGTTTAGGTTCAGTTAAATATCAAGTGATCCAATCCAAGCGAAGAAATCTGATTGGATATAAGCTTAAATTGAACAGAATCTATCCCACTATTGCTAAACACATGATAAAATATTATCAACTACTATTACCAAACCCTCTTTCTCGGGTAAAAAAATGCAATAATTTGTTTGTGTGGAATCTTATGAACTTTTTACTTGGTTTCTTGCAACCTCCTAGATTAAAATATTTGTTTTGTTTTGCACCATAATTTGCTTGTATGTTGTGAGTGGGTTATAGTTTAGTTGGTTGAGTTCTTCCACCTCTATTCATGTTGTGGACACAAATTCGAAACTCTTAAGCACCCAATAAATATTTGTGTAAACCCCCCTCCTCTAATTTGTTGTACGTTATAAGATTTTTGTTGGCACATATTCATGGTTAGTTACGAAAAAATCTAACCCCCAAATTGGTTAGAATTGACACCCTTCCCAATTGGTGAATGCATACCAATTTTTCAACGCGAATGAGTGTGCATGTGGTGTGGTTGATTTATAAAGAAAAATTGGTAACAAGTGATAATACTCTATGCATACCAATTTTTCAACGCGAATGAGTGTGCATGTGGTGTGGTTGATTTATAAAGAAAAATTGGTAACAAGTGATAATACCCTATTTTTTTAAATATATTATTTTACAGGAGATAATATCAAGGATAATAATACAACGTGTTTTTCTTTGCTGGGTAATTGAAGGTGTTCATACTTGGTACGATGTCTACACCAAGAAACAAGTGTAAATTATAAAAAAACCTCAACGAAAATATATTTATTATATCAATATTTTTTGCGGTTACATATAAAACATAATAAAAAATTTGTGTAAATTAATTAATTTGGACCCATGATATACGAATATCGTGCGAGAACGATATAAAAAAAACAAACGCCGTCCCCAAACAAAAGAGAATAAATCACAAGCCGAGTGAGTGAAAGACGGAGAAACGCGCGGACTAATCGTGTAGGTCCCACGCGGGCCCCACACGAGGAAAGAGAGAAAGAAGACCTCCTCCCTACAGACTACAGCGGCTCTACTTGGTCTCAGCCAAAAGGCAAGTTGGTGAGTGGTGAGCTCTCCCCACAGCACAGTTCCAGCGAAGCAGACGATGATGATCTCTCTCTCTCTCTCTCTCTCTCTCTCTCTCTCCTACCGCCATGTGATGAAGTCTGATGACTGAAGAATTGTTTGTTTTGAAATGAAATAGAAAATCAGAAAGAGAGAGAAAAAAAAAGCAACAAAAATACCTTCCTAATTCCGAAACCAAAAAAGCAAACGCTATCTGTCTGTGTTTGTCTGCCCTCTCTCCTACTCTCTCCCTCCATTAACTGCTAGACATTCTCTCTCTACTTCTCTCTCTTGCCCTCTCTGTCTTCTTTTGGAGAGAGAGAGAAAGAGGAGAAAGCTTTTCGTTCAGCGGAGCAAGAAACGACTGTTTATCAGCTACCCATTTCTTTCGACACATCTGATTTGTAGCAGCAATGTCGAGCCCACCTCCGGGGACAACTCCGGCGCCTTCTTCGCCGCCGGCGACCAACACAACC